CCACCACCACAGAACTACCAGTGAACACAAGTCCTCCGAAAAAGCAGGAGTAAAGTTCTGAATGCCATGAAGTTTCTCAGTGCCGGGAAAGCAGGAAGTCTAGATGGGACTTCGCCAGAAGCACTGAAAACAAGCGCAGAGACATCAGCAGACACGCTCACACCACTATTGCAGAATGTTTGGGAGGAAGGCAGGAAAGGTACCTGCTAGTTGATTGGAAGAAGTGCTACCTTGTCAAACTCCCGAAGAACGGCGACCTAACTCTTTGCAAGAACTGGTGTGAATCTTGCTCCTGTCCACCTTAATAGTATCCCGCATCATCTTGGAGAGACTAAAAGATGCTCTGTATTCAGAACAGGCTGGATTCAGGAAGTACAAATCATGTGCGGATGAAATTGCAACGCTACGCCACGCATCATCATAGAAGAGAGTATAGAATGGCAGTCAACTCTACACCTCAACTTCATCGATTTTGAAAAGGCCTTCAACAGCGTCGACTGAGAAGTGACTTGGCAAACAGCTGCTTGAACACCACGGAGTACCACAAACCATTATCAACCTCATTCAACAGCTATATGAAGACGCCACATGCCAAGTGATTCACAATGGAAAGCTCAGTGATGCCTCTGAAGTGAAGACAGGAGTAATACAAGGCTATCTAGTATCACCAATGATCTTCCTGCTTGTGGTCGACTTGTTTGAACTGGAATTGATCATGAAATAAACTACGAGGAAAAAAAAGATGAGCATACGCCAGCTGAACCGATGAAAAGACCCTAGGAGGATATTCAAATTTTGCCGATGATGATTTATGTCTACTGTCGCACAAACTTGAAGATATACAGGCAAAAACTAACAAGTTGACAGAAGAGGCGGAGCAGCGAAAACGGGACTTCAAGTGAATGTAGAGAAGACGGAGGTGATGAAGATACCCATACAACAACAACAGCAACAAAACAACAAGCACCGATCACCATCAGCGGGAGAAACGTGAAGGAAGTAGTCTCTTTCACCTACCTAGATGGTATCGTCCCAGCTACATGCGTCACAGATGAAGACGCCAAAGCCAGGATCAGAAAAGCAAGACAGGCTTCCACTAATCTGAAATCAGTGTGGAGATCTACTGCACTGTACGCAGCATAAAGAACAAGATGCGGATTTCCAACACTAAGTCAGTCAAGCAAGTCAGTGCTTCTATGTGATGGTTGAGAGAGTTGGCGTGTTACGAAAAGCATTTCCAACAAATTGCAGACATCCATCAACAGCTGCCAGCTACACTCACTCGGTACTGAAGATCAGATGAATGGCCAGAAAGAATGAGCAACAAGGAACTCTGGTCGAGCAATGAACCAACCAAGAACCTAGCTGTCGACAAATATGCAGAAGCAGAGAGTGTGGCTGGATTGGGTATGCACTGAGAAGACCGATTAGGGACATCACATGCGAGGTCAGGCCCTCAAGTGGAACCGAAATATGAAACGACGAGTTGGGCATCTGAGGGGAGGGTGACATGGGGGAGAACGTGTGAGGAAGAAATGAACGCTTGTGGGCAGCCGTGGAGGCAGGTTGGAAAGACTGCGTAGAACAGAGTGGAATGGGGACGTGCTACTGAAGCCCTGTGTTCCACTAGGAACCCAAGGGACAAATAGTAATAATAAATATGAGAAAGTCTTATCCACCAGACTTTCCAGTCAGAAAGCGTCTATTAGAAAATGGCCATGGCAACTAATACTTGTTTCATGAGACGTAAAGACACCGTCAAGCTATGGAATGCAGTTAAGTCTAACTGAAGGTTCCAAAATGAGACAAATCATGCATTTTGAATTTCACCGGTAACAATAAAAAGGATAATATTGTTATGATACATGCTTCTGAATAGTCGCTATTTACACTCCCATCACAACATTCAGATAAGCTTCATCATTCCTTTCGAATCTAGGTATCCGTTTTGTAAAATAAATCGTGACTGTCAGTTAAAGACCACTATGCTTTAGTAAACCGTAGAGTATATTTCTTCAAGCTGCAAATAGCTTTTCGCTAACTATGTGATACAGTTCAGTGGTAAAAGCATCCCGTCAGTTTCTGGATCAAGTTGTTTATGACTCACTGACTGGAAAAGCGACAAAAAGCAGCAAGAAGTAGAAGCTAACTGACATGCACTGATGAATTTTAGTACCTTATGTGTGTAAATTATTTACCTCAGCAGAACAACTCCACACTTCTTCCATCCCTTCCAAAACTGAGGAAACAGTTGTTTGAATTTTTCAGAGGGAATAAATACTCTGTTAGGAGTTGACAGAGATAGTGATTAAGTATATCTCGAACCCACAAGGCCATCTCTAAAAGCTAAGAATAGTTCAATTGTCATGCATAATGTACATTTCACAAATTATAATCACGTATATACAAACTATGAACACATCTGAAGGTTTGATAAACTGCTAGTTAGTTGGATGAAGTCGATATGAAGCCCTGGACCTAGTTTTCGTTGTTGTTACCAAGGTGTATCTCCAACCTCAAGGGAAGCTATGTCCACCTCCCAAACTCGAATCCGCTTCACACATTATTAAGGTAAGCAACATTACCACTGAGATATTTGGACAGCGATCGACATCCTGCAGGTAACCCGACTGGTTACTGGAGAGCAACCAATTTCATGCTGATGGGCCGTAACACAGCAGGCGTTTGTTAAGGGAATAAAAATAATCCCAGAAAAAATATTTGAATCCTAAGGTTCGAATCAACCAGCAACAAAATTATCCAAACGACAGCTGCAAAATAAGGCTTCACTTAATCGTGGTACAGACAATAATTTCAAGATTTCAACTCTTGCGAATGTAACTTTATCATCTTCAGTTTGTCATACAAACAAATTTTCTCCCTTGAGCTGTGATCATTTAAAAAGCATCCAGTGAAGTCCTATTACAAAGGCTATCTACAACCATCAGAAGGACCTTCTATTCTACTAGCCTTTGCTTATCACTTTCTAACTGGCTGATAACTGTTGCGTGGACAAAAGACAAGCTGCCCAGTTACGCCACTTTGTATGCATTTGTTAATTCAGCTGCTCCTGTAGAGAAAGCTGTATTGGGCGTACAACTAAGCAGCTTAAAAAACGTGTTGCTGAGCACCTACAGTCATGGCTAGGAAAGGGACTAGTAAAGTCAATACAAAGTTCATTTCTGTCGGATTTGACCAATAGCGGTCACGCAACAGATAAAACTAAAACGTTTCAAATCGTCTACCGCATTGCACGAAATTTTTTGAACGGAATTAGCACTTGTATATTACATATAGCTGAGGCCGTGGGAATTAGAGTTACCAATTACATTCTTTGTGTACAGGAAATGTTTGTGTAGCCGTTATCTCTGCCTTGACTAGAGAAAACTTGATAAATACCTCCAAAGATAAATTCAGACTTCATCCACTTCTCTTTCTTCGCCCCTTTCGCACATGTTTACCTATTTTGACTACCTACACACTTCATCTTTCAACATTACGCAACTTTTATTTCCTCAAGTTTTGACCTGTATTGGTTGTTTTAATGCCTTCGGCACTATGCTGTGCCCACTATTGTTATCCTCACTGATTTTATTATTATTATCTAGATACCTACTATTTGCTTGCTTCATTTCCTTATTACCACAGACTAAAGAACCCACCATGAATGGCTGAATGTTTTGTAAATGAAAAAGCTTATTTACATCAGCGCAAAGCGTGAAAAAAGCTAGTTGAAAACAATATTGTCCGCTTATATGTCTTCTAATGGTTTCGTTGTTAATTTTCGTTAAATTCTTACTTCATTTCAAAGTGAATGACACTATGAAATAAATTAGAGGGTTATGTAACTAAATTTAACGAAATATCATTCCATATCAACGTAGTAAAAGCCTCTTTCACTCATTTAATCTTTTTTCCTCATTCTAGAAAAACGGATGGTTTCAAGGTAGTATTCATCATGAATCGACAACAGTTGAGCAGCCATTGGAAAACTGGAAGCACTGGATACCTATTTCGTCCTGGCGTAATGCTTTTCAGCAGTAAGTGCCTATGACCTCACCAGAGATTTAATAGTGATCATGTTAACGTTAAGCTAGCGGGTCAAAATCCAAAGTGGTCCACATTTTACAAATCATGACAATTCATGACATATTGCCCGCTCCTACAACCTAAAGCCTTCATATACGGTTACGCCTTCTTTTTAAATGTAGGGTATTAACCACTAATCACTTTAGAAACTTAAGGTATTTTTTGAAGTGGTATAATAAGAGGCTGGGAAATGGATTTGATATATCCTTGTGGAATCCTGGATAATGACTTTAGACTTCACCCTTAATGATTGCTCGGTCCATCAAAAACAGAAAAGAAGCGGTAAAAACGATGAAGGTTTATTGTCCAGTTGAATATATACCAAGACTAATGGTTTATAGACATTTGTTAATGGCCTTTGAAGGTTCTACACTTTTCTAGAGAGCCCTTTAACCAATCTGAGTCTCACATGTGATCACGTGGTTTTTTCTCGAACTTTCGACATGATATAATTGGCTGTAAGGCCTTTCAAGGGTATCCAGGCTTCTATAAGGATTCTAGAAGATATCGTCGTACTCTAAACAAATTTTGAAGCCCACAGAGCTGAATATACAACAAACAATCTGGATAAAACATTACTGGTATTCAACATGCAGGATGGTATGTGAGAGCATTTTTGTAGATGGAAAGGTTTTTTATAGCACACTGTGTTGATTTAATTTCAACTAACTAACAAGTGTTTGCAGTTTGGTATTTGTAGTTTAGACCGATAACCTTAATTGAAATAAAACGATCTGTGATTCCCTTCTTGTTGCATTTAACACCTTCTCAGTCTTAGAGGGAACTTTCAAATAAATTGAACTAACAAAATTAAGCGTAATGGGGTATGAAATCTCTGGAACTACCTATCTAAATGCTTTGTAACTTTTCACGTGCTTCTAATACGCGTTATACAAGGCTTAATGAAGTCTAACTTACACATCTCACATGATGAAATATTATACGCATAACATAGTTTATCATCTTAGTTATCATTATTGACATATATTACTGTGACTGTGTGTAAATACAGCCGTTTACAACACTTTTCTGTCTCGTTCAATATTCAATGCACCTTACAACTAGGCAAGAGAATAAACAATATCAATCCGTATTTCTATGTACACAAATTGATCTTTAAACGAACGCTATAAAAACTGATGAGACAACATTTTTAAGATCAATCTTATTGTTGTTCTAATTGCTTAAAATAACCCAACAATTTAAATGTCACATACATATTCTGAGTTTAATGATAATGTTACGAAAACTGATGAAATTTGTGGAAATAAAACTATAGATCGTAAAACGAGACAAGTTTTATTCTTTGAATGCAGCATGGACTTTATTCAACAAACATTTTTGAGAAAAAGTGAAAAATTCAATGAGCAACGTGCAACTCAGTTGCTTGAAAAGTATAAACAAAGGCATAGAAAAATCAAGTGTTCAGCATACTTTCTGATTGATCGAATCCGTTTTAAACGAAAAAGACCAATCGGTATTAGACCATTTCGCAAAGAAGTTATTTATCGAGAGATCAAGCACTTTTTCGTTTTTCCCAATTATCCTGAAGTATTTATGATATGTATCGTAGACGAAAATAAGAATAGACGCTCTTATGAATCGTTTCAATGTGCCAATAGTGATACAGTAAGTACTGTGTGCTGTTTGACCTATAAAGCTTCAATAGATGTGAATAATATTCTTCGTGATACACTTTCAATAGAACAGATATCCGTCTCACCATTATCTTCAACAACTGATCATTCTTCAGCAAACGAATTAGAGTATTCAACATTGAACACTTTATTAAACGCTACAAATGACAGCGGAAATACAGATTCAGATTTTGTGGAGCCACCTAAAGCACTTGGAAGTGACTATATTATCGACGGTGAACAAAATGATTCCAATTTTGTTGGTAGCAATTCGAATGTCTATTTTGCATATGCTGCTGCTTCTTCGAATGATGATGATGATGAAGATGACCAAATTAAGATTAGCAGACTAATGCCTGCAGACATAAACAGTGATTGGGGAAGGAAAACGCTCAAACTCAACAAAATGAAGCACATAGTAAATACTTCAACAGAATCATTTAATCGGTCATCATTTCATAACCCTAAAAGATTCAGCTTAAAAGACGATTCATCAAATGCACTGTGTTCAACTGAAACTGACTATACCTCTAGATGGATGAATACAATTGCAAATAATGAAGTTTACTATTCTTGTGTGCCTAAAACGGATTGCACTTCCAGAAGAAATAACATACCGACGTTGGTTTTACCAGATAATGAAGTTGCATTACGTAAAGAGAAGTCATACACGATCATTTCTTCATCATCAACATCTTCAGGGTGCTACGACTTTGAGGAAAAACAAGATAGTTCATTGCTGTATCGTGATCAGAATTCATCAGCAAGTAAATTTAGAAGGCCGTCAGTTTTCTTAGATCTTGATTTAAACCAGTCATCTGGGAATAATATCGCAGACAGGAAAAAGAAGACACGTACAATAGCCAAAACAAGTAATACTTTTTGCCATAATAGTGATATAAACATGTATGAAGATGATCTTAACTTCGAAAGCAGTGATTGTATCACTCGTAAAAACATGGAACTGATCAAGTTAATCATTTGGAAAATATGCTAAGAAAATCCTTGTCACATATGGATATACGATCGGCTGATATAACATACTTATGCTATGACCCAGCTGTTGGTGTGCGGGTAAACAACAGAGGCCCATTATATATGTTCATGGCACGTTACGACAATGATCGGGCGATGTCATCCTACGATTGCTCACATTCAAGATCTTGTAGAAGAAAATAAATAAACTTGTCAAAAACGTCTAGTTTTTCATGATAAATGGGATCCGATTCAATTCAGTATGCACCCAATTATTTCCTTGTATTTCCGTTCTTTTCTATTTCCGTTTTGTAATGTGATACCCATCGAACAAATGTGTGTTAGTAGTAAAGCTATTTAGCAGGAAAATGCTTAAACTTATCAATTCTAATTCTATCAGTGTGTAATTAATTCAATGTTAAGGTTTCTGTGGCAAGCAGGTGATCAGTTTAGTTCAGTTAATCAATGAACGGAGACTACAAGTTAAGCGATTTAATATAGAGATCAGTGGTCACTGTAGCTTTTAACACTTTCAATACGTCAGTATTGTATAAAATATGTTTTCTGAATTGCATATTAGATTTGTTTATTTGATTTATAACACACAGTGATCTAGTATTATTTACTTGATGACGTTTTAAGCATAAACTATCACTGATAATCATATCAGTGTCACATTGATATGATTATGAGTGATAATTTATGCTGAAAACGTCATCAAGTAAATAATACTAGATCACTGTGTGTTATAAATCAAATAAACAAATCTGCTATGGTGCCCAAGTTTTACACCTATATTAATCTTTTCTGAATGTCTTTTATGAAATGAGATGAGTAATGCTGAGTCATATAGTCCAATAAAAGGATGAAGAAACGGAAATAATGAAAAATATCACCATCCTCTCTATAGAACAGCATTTATCTTTACGTCAGATAGTTGAAAGCAATCAGCAAGTGTCTTTTTTTATTAGTTACAACAATAGTAAATTCGAGAAGTCGGATGCTGCTTTAGTCACTTTGTAATGCAGTTTTCAATGATCAATCCAACTATCAACACTGAAATTGATGGAGAGCGGAAAACACAAAATAGGTTAACACTGGATAGACAATTTTAGATGAATAAAAAACAAACTTCTAAAAATTAGTATGCCCTAACTGTGATCAAGCATAAACAATCTAGAGTTTAAAAGTTCGGAAATGATGTAAAAATTGCATGATCCACGTTTGTTTTTCACAGCTGAGTCGTTTCTCTAGTGCCTAATTGTGGTGTCAAGAGTTTCTATATTGGAAACTACTAAACCAACTTCAAGAGGCTTGACCCGTAACTTAAAATTATCATGAACAAACCAAATGTACTGCTGAAATTTTCCAACCGTAAATTCCATCCGAGGAATTTCTTGATAGTTCAAGTCAGCTGGCCTGATTCCGGTGGTATGAGCAATTTGGTTCAGAGAGCTGGAAATTCTCCAGGTACATATACGATGAGCTGGGCCACAAATAAGCGAAAAGTAGTCCAGTGTTTAGTTCACTATAACCTGGCTAGAGAATCCTACATATAAGCTTGAGCGGTTTCTAACTACTCATTAGTATATTTGATAAAGAGTTTATTCTATGCTGTTCAGTTCACCCTTTATAGTACGCAAGAATGTAAAGTAGTTCAGAGGATTTTCGAAACCACTACTCAATTCAGATAACTTTGGTTTCCATTATGAGATATAGCAAGATACAGATTTGTAGAGTATCACATATCAAATACTCTCTTGAAGCAAACTGTATATTCAGAGTTGATTCCTTAGCTTATCTTAAAGTATCTCCATCAACTGTTTAGAACTGCCTTACGCTCATAGTATAAGAGGAAGGCAAGAGAAACTGATAGTATCAAAATAATTATTCAATGTGAAAAATGAAATAGGAGCGAACAGAAATAACATTTATTCCTATCAGCTGTGTTATACTTTTTTTAACCATTGTTCCCATGTCCTTTTTAATAGCAGAAACGACTATACTGCTTGCTATCTAATTTGTTCCAACCTAGAGTGGATGGTTGAATTTGAAACTTGAGGTCGTGTCTTAATGCGATCAGCTAGTTTCAGTCAAATGATCTTGAAGGATCAATTGAATTCACTCCAATGTTCATCAACAGACACATTTAAAAATTTCAACAGTACAAAGGTTTCATAGCAGTAACAAAATGAAACAGCCATTCATCCAAAAGATATGCATGAAACGGAGGTGATATAATCTCCATCTAACTATGAAGCAAAAAGCAGTCTATCAGGGATGATACGAAGGTGAGTAAGAGGTGACCAAATTATTACCAGCTTTACTGTATGTCATGGTTTTCAATTCCTCACCACTGAATGGACCGAATTAATCGGTCATCACTGGCATATAGACTCAAGCACCGTTGCTTTGATGTCAACAGAAGTTTCAATCTGGTCTGTGGCCAGCACTAAAATACAGGATCCATGACCTTTAAAGTTTGGAGAGTATTCAAATTTGTATGCTTGTTATGTGGTTTTTTGCATTGAATGATGAATTCATCTAGGTGATATCAAGTTAAAAATTTAGTTTTCATGTTAAGTTTACTGAGTTTTACAGCTGTTGCAGCCGAAATACTTTTTCTATTTCGCACAAAGTAAAACTCTAATTGTTAAATACTGCTAAGCTGAAGGCAGGTGATATAAGAACAATTGGGAATAAAAAATACTTTAGTGCCTTATAAAGTGAAATTCTATTCTGAATGGTGACTGAAAATGAAGTGAAAAACGGTTAGTTCTGTTTAGAGAAAGACGACAAAAACACACATTATTCAGTTTGTGAAGACAACAAATTATGCTTGAAGCAGAGTGCATTCAAGCATGTAATATACTTCTGACTGACTTCAGTACTTCTAGACCATTGTAGCGGACCCAAAGAATGTCCAGTTAACCAAAATGACAAACTACGTATAATTTACAAGAAAAATGGATCTTATGATACAGATGTATGAAAAGTTATACGTTATAGCACAAATAGTATCATCAATGTTATAGATAATCACTGGTCACTTGGAGGTTATTTCTTCGGTATTGTCCACCACAATTTTGGATACTCCAGAGATCAGAAGGCGATATTTGTTGGCTCTCCACAGTGGTCGTTCGTCGGCTTGATTGTTGTAATATTCGGAAGTAGATTGAGAGGTCCTGTAAAAATCCCAAGACAATCAGTTAGTATGCACGACAGGCAACAGTCGCGGAGTCAGAAGCCTGAATGGTTAGAAGCACATTATATTTCCACGATTAGCAGCAGCAAAAGCTATAATTACCGCCACAAACAAAAAGGTGTGTGTACAAACAACATTCGTTTTCACAAGTATTAGGAAGAATATACAGAATGTGTAAAAAAAATGATGAAAAGGAAATAATGCTGTGAGTTGAAGTGGTTTATACACAATGTTATGCAGTCTCCATACCATTCATACCTATCAGCAGTACTCGCTAGCCAGTTCAGTGTAACATAAAAATTGGATGGCTATTTCACTTTTTTGGCGCTGAGCACATCAGTAGTGCACTCAGAGATATTCATCTTAGATAGCTAAGTTATCTAAACCAAATAATTTTCGGCCTGTTACTTCAATGAACTGGTCATACCTAGTATATTTTTATTTAATTAACTGATGATCATTCTCTGAAGAAAACTCAAGATGAGTACATGCTGCATGGAAGATACTTCTCGAATTTTCGGGATACTTTGATTGCCTACCTCCATTTTCAATCAGTTTATAGACCCTTTATTTGTATGATTCATAAATTACAAACGTATAAGTAGTGTGCATTTCACAAATACACTTTTACAACAGAAACTCAGTTATTCATGCTACAGAAGACAAACGACTGGAATTTGTCAGTGCCCAGACTTACATGTCTTTCGAGACTTAAAGCAAAGACAGGTGATAACTGAGAACGAAAACTTAACATTAAACTAACTGAATAATGACCGTTGGGTTTAACTATGCCTTTTATTTTGAGAAAAGCATTTCAAAAATACCTGGATCTAAATTTCATGACAACTGAAGAAAGTATAAATATGGCTATTATCTGATACATTATCTTCATAATTGTTAATTATAAATAGAATACCTATTATCATGTGACCTGAATGAAATCACTCGGCTAGATATGCCAAGCACAATTCATAGACATAACAATAACACACGGACTACCTTATAGCTTTTTGCACTCATAATTCATGTGTATTACCATCGACTTAATTTGCAGTCACAATAGAAAATCGATAACTAGTATTCAGTTTAGTAAATAAGCTAGATTTTAAACTCTCAGATGCTATTCTCGCTTTTTAGTATGCGATTGCAACAAAGCAACTTATACAGCATATAAATGACTTAACGATCCACCATATACACTTTCTGAACGGAACTGTTACTTAGATTTATGTCTTGATGCGTAATTTGTTGGTTTCGTTGTAGTTTCCACGGCTAGACATCACTCAGATAACTGCTAGAAATTAGAGAGAAACTGGGTAGACATGCTCACATAATGTCACAGTCTTAAACAATGCCATCATGATCACTCACGGTACCAAGCCTAAGAACGTAAAGTTCCTGATAATCCCTTGATCAAGCATCTGTTTTTCTAAATTCTAGCGGAAGAAAATATGATGATCATTGACAGAAGTGGATAATGGTTGCCTGGATGATCTTGAAAGTTAAATTTTGTCTACATTCAGCTCATAAAATATTGGTGAGCACCCTGAAGGATACGAAACTTTGAGATGCAGTACAACATTTAACCTTCAGTTTGACCTGCGGAAAATAGGCAGTTTCCCATCGGCCAACGGTTTTCAACAGCTGAGTTAAAAATACAAATTCATGAAAAAATACTGTGAACTATGTCCATTTGCGCAGTCCAGCTAAAGCAATAAAATGATTTCAAAGAATTTAGCCATACAAATATGAGGTAGTGAAACATAGATGTATGAAAGAAGAAAATTTTCTTCTCCACCATTTCATTTACGAAACCCGTACGATCGTCTTCTAAGTCGTTAAAAACAAATAACCACCTAATTTTATTCAATACGGATACGTGAATAAGTAGTGTTGAACTGTAGAATAGATGGTTTCTAAAGACAAAAGAAAATTACTTCTTTAATCATGACAAGGGTAATGAATCTACCTAATGCTTTTGAACACATATCAGGTTCAGCATTGTAAAGTGTCACTGATAGACCCACGTTTAGAAAACGCATTCGTACGCCTTCTGAAGTGTATGGGAACACTGCTAATTAATCTGAAGGGACTACTTAGAGGGGCCAGATGTTTGGAGATGACAAGGTGTTCAAGAATGGAACCGGAGATATTTTGGAAATCGCCTCTGGATAGCCCGACTGGAGAAACTCCAAAAATACTTTTGGGGACTTGACTCTGTGTATGGCAAGTATA